GTTATTTCCAGTTACTATTGATCTTTTTCATGTCTGTCTGCTTTAAATTACCAACTCAGTGTGTTCTTTGATCTTTCACTTTATCGTTTCCATTTAGAATTTCAAGTTAGTACTTGTCTTGTGATGCAATTTGATCACTTCCATAATGTGTGTCCTATCCACTTCCAATGTCTTTCTCTAATTTCGTCTTCAACTGGAAGTTGGTTTGTTCTTTCACATAGTAGGCTGTTGCTGATGGGATCCGGTAAATGGATATTGAGTATTTTGTGTAGACAACTTTCTATAAATACTTGTACATTCTTGATGATGATTGTAGTAGTTCTTCAAGTTTCAGCTACATACAGTGGAACTGTCTTGACGTTCGTATTGACGATTGTGACTTTGATATTGGTTGACAGTTGATGATATTTTTATTGTTTAACAGATTAAAGCTAAACCATCATTAAAACCTGAAAGCACTGGACAACCGTTTTGTTCTAGTATAGAACTCCTCCTTACACCGAACTCGAACCCATGATCTTCGGTCTCGCACGCGAACACTTAACCTGTAGACTACTGAGCTGCCATCAAATGATGTTAATGTCTAACTTCAACCAATCCATAAAATTGTGTAACCATCTTCTATTGCCTGAAATAGATACTTATCTCTACCTGACACAGATCCCGCTAGCGGGATTACCAGGTTCTCAAAGGTGGTCCAACATTCATCGATTGATGATCTTAATAAAAAATAATGTAAAGTCTAAACCTAACTGTTATTGCCTTGGTTGTTTCTTTTACTCTGTTGTGTATACACACATTAATTTCATTTGTATACCTCAAGCCTATCAATCTAATTACATTTGATGAAGAAGATTCGTAAGATGTAAAAACATTTACATATCTGGGCAGCATCACTGATGAACACGGTGGATCTGATGCAGATATGAAGGCGCGGATCGGCAAAGCAAGAGTAGCATATCTACAAATGAATAACATATGGAAATCAAACAACTATCTGTCAACCAACACCAAGGTCAGAGTTTTCAATACATATATCAAGACAGTCCCACTGTATGAGGCGGAAACCTGGACAACAACGAAAGACATCATCCACAACATAAAAGTGTTCATTAACAGTTGCCTACGTAAAATACTTAGGATCCGTTGGCCAGACACTATCAGCAATAACAACTTACTATGGAAGAGAACAAACCAGATTCCAATGGAGGAAGAAATCAGGAAGAAGCACTGGAAGTGAGTAGGACACACATTGAGGAAAGCACCCAACTGCGTCACAAGACAAGCCCTCACATGGAAGTCTCAAGGCTGAAGGAGAGGAGGAAGACGAAAGAAAACATTACACTGAGAAACGGAGACAAATATGAGAAGAATGAACAAAAATTGGATAGAACTAGAAAGGATTGTCCAGAACACAGTGCGTTGGAGAATGCTTGTCGGCGGCCTATACTCCATTGGGGGTAACAAGCCTAAGTAAGTAATCCCAAGCCTATATTAAATAATCATCGTTTTTTGAGATTCCCAGTTGTGATTAACAGTTATACTTTAGTGACGTATTATAATAAACAAACTTCTACACTACTCATAATTATCTGTGATTATAGTCCTAACTAATTGGAGTTTAATCACTGACGAAAACATGAATCCAATTTGTTAGCTGAAATATAATGTTGAATACTAACAAATAAGCAAACTGAAGGAAGAATTTACAGTTTATTTCTAATGACCATGTATTATCAAGTAATTAATAGTATGGTGTCAATCGAATTATTTTTGAATGAGGTAACTACTCAGTTGGAACTTGGGACAATACCGTATAAAATTAATTCTACTCAACTGAATACTTAGTGTTGAATATGATATCAGAAGGGGTTTTGTGGAGATTTTAGAAATTTCACTGGTTGAAGTCATGAGTTAATTGAAAGTAGACCACTATGGAAAACCTGGAAGCACTGGATGGCTGCTTCGTCCTGGTATGGGACTCCTCAGCAGTGCGCCTCCTCGACCTCGCCTACTGCAAGATTCGAACCCAGGACCTACTGGTCTCGCATGCGAGCACTTAACCACTAGACCACTGAGCCGGCATCCAACGGTGTTAATGTGTAACTTCAACCAATCCACGAAGTTGCACCACCGTACACTATTGAATAAGATATGACAACAATAAAATTTATAAAACTCTGTGTATTTATGTTAGTTTATTATTTATTTAAACGCATAAACATTGCTAAAAGGAGGTACCAAATAGATATGCGCTACATAAATCATTCGATTTGTGTGAGAGCTGGAATACTGCCTGGGTGCCCAAACCGAAACAGGTGGTTTTCTTAGGGGACCACTTCTGGAGACTTTGAACTAAAGGTCTAATCCACAAGGTAGTGGGATAAAATGTTAGGAGATGCAGTCACATGGTAGACGGTGACCAACGATTGGTTCATAGGTCATTTGTTCCGTCAGGATTCTGGAGCCTATGTGCACCATTGGTTTGGAATCAAAGTTTTCCAACTCCCCTAGGTGGACTGTCCGTGTCCACCAACTCGGTCAAATCGTTGGACTTTCACTTTTCGTCCTCTCAATTTCGTAAACAACAGTGATCCCTTGAGAAGATATTTAGTAGGACATCTCTGTCAGTGATTGTATACACGTGGCCATGTGAGAGCATTTGGAGATGGAGAGCCGACTCTTCGCACTCTCGACCGTATCATTGCATTTAGGGAATTTTATAAAAAGATATGGATGTCTCTGAAGGCTTTGTATAATCCTCAGGGAGACTGTATGAAATATATGGTAGATCTTAGGTGATAATTAACTCTTCAGAGATATGATGTTGTGTTGTTTATCTTCATCCACATCACAAATTCCATAGCCAGTAAAAGAAATACTACTAGTGATTACATGATAATGTGCAGTATTATTATTGTATTTTATTGTTCTGTAAATAGTACATAACTACAAATCTGTTCCAAATTATTTTCAGAACGCAGAATAAATACGTTAGTGAAAAGATGAAATAGTCCTAGTTTGAGACTTCTCAACATTCGGCATTCATAATGTTTCCAGGAGTCAAACTCAAAAACCCAAAGATCTATCATAGAATCACAATCAATCAAAGCTATCGAAGTATATTCTACAAAACAGGTTCTGGGTTCGAGTCACTGAAGTATAACTATGAATCACAAATAGAAATCTCAGAATATGATGATCAATTTATTATGGGCTTGGGGTATACAAATGAAATTAATGTGTGTATACACAAAAGATTAAAACAGACAACCTAGACCATAACAGTTAAGTTTAGACTTTAAATGTTGTTTTTTTATAGAGATCATCAATCGATGAATGTTGGACCACAATTGAAAACCTGGAAGCATAGGACAATCGGTTCGTGTCCATGTATGAGACCAAAAGTTATGGGTTCAAGTCCTATGTATAGGATAGTGGATACACATAAGTAAGGAATCACATAGAAGGACGAAACGGCCATCCAGTGCTTCCAGATTTTCAATGGTAATCTAGCATCAATCGGTTCATGATCTCAATCAAATACAACATGAACACTACGTGAATAGTTCACTCCTTATGATGTAGATTCTATCAAAAGTATAATTCAGTAAGAATACATTCTTTATTTTGTAATAATGAAGATTCTTGTATCATAAAAATGCCATCATTGCTGTCTTGCAATTTCTAACAAGTTCATACACAGATATTGTAAAAACAGTGAGAAGTAATCTGACGGGGGTATTGCTGTAATCCTAATAAGTTATTAGTTTGTAGTGATTCACATTTATCACGAGAACACGACTGGTTTAATAAAAACAATTATTATTATTATAACCAACTGTACCAGCGTTTGTTTTAATGTGCTTTTGTTTGACTGTGCTAATGACAGCTATTTTGTGCTTCCATTCTTATACTCACACTTTTGATTGTGACTTCGCGCGAATTCGGTTACGTTCTGTAACCAAGCTTCTATCCTGGCACGATCTCGGTATCCTTTCGATGCCACGAGATCGCCAGCGAATATATCTCGATTTGGTCCATTAACTGACTTCTGATATTTGAATTCTCGGGGATTTTATGGATTTATTTGGTTACGTTCAACCTACGCACGTGTTTCTTTGTAGCGGTGTTCATAGTTAATCTCAACTCGACGTCATGCTACAAGTTCAATTCATGTGATAATTAAAGTTAAACTACCATAGAAAACCTAGTAAGAAGCCGTGATTAATGGCGTTCAACCAGATCTATTATAAGATAGTAACTCACTGAAGAAAATGGTGAATATGTCGATCTATTTCGTCAATTAATTGAAGTTAGACATTTACACTATTGGATACTAATTCAGCGATCTAAAGATTAAGCATTCGCACGTTCACGACCAATTGATTATGTTCGAATCTTGTGGTCCAAGATCATAGTGTAGTGAACAGAACACGGCCGGGGGGACAAGCGAATACATTCAGCACAAAATTACAGAGTTACTTTATTAAATAGAAAAACACTATAGTAAATCGTTAATTTGCAAAATATTGATTCATCATATCAAACCTGTTACAATTATCAATCCATTGTCTCACATTTCATTGTTCATGCGTCTTTTTTTTACAAATTGCATTGTGTTCCCGTCCTTCCTTTCTTGAGTTTTCCCCATCTTCTGCTAACAAATATTACATTCTTTAACTCACGTCATATACTACTTATATCAATCTAAGCAGCACACACCATAATAGATGTGTATTGCTAAGAAAGAATCCCATAATAAGATGAAACAACCATCCAATTCTTCCAAAGTTTCCATGATAGTCTAACTTACATTTAATCATGAATTCCACCATTAAAACAAAATATAGTTGTGCTTTTTTTTGTCATATTCACATTATACTATGTTTCCAATTATTATTATTATTATTAATTGTTTTAGATACAATATGTCTAGTCATTGAATTCATTGTCTATGATTTCGGAGATTAACAAAAAATGAAATAAAATTAGTCCTATTAAACCAAAATCCACCGCTTACTATTATTACTACCATCACTACTATTAGTAGTAGTAGTAGTAGTACTAGTAGTACTAGTAGTACTAGTAGTACTAGTAGTAGTAGTAGTAGTACTAGTAGTACTGATAGTAGTAATAGGAGTAGGAGGAGGAGGGGCAGGGGTGATAGTAGTCATAGTAGTATTTAATTGTTCCAGTTTCATTTGATTAGATTGGTGATTGTTACACATCTGAAATTATTTTATTATTAACCTATGTCTGGACATTGTTCATAATAATAACAATCATGATAACAATAGTAATAGCAGTGGTAGTGGTAGTCGTAAAAGAAATCTCGATATGTTTTTCTCTTTTTTTGTTCTTTCTCTTTTTTCTCCTTTTTTCTCTTTTTTTTGGTACGTGTGTTATGATTAACAATCTTCTTTTTTTTTCCTAGACAAACAGACAGAGAGACAATTTTATGTCTGATTCCCTCTTTTTTTTCTGTTTTTTTTTCTCTTCTCTCTTTTTTTTTTGGAGTTGATTGTTAGTTCTTTTTTTTTTAATTATTCATTGTCTGATAGAATAGTGTTAATTTGATTGAATAAATAAACAATGAATAAAGAAATATGATTACACATTTTGAAATAGACCAATTAGTAATGTAAATGTATCAGAAGGGGCTTTATGAAGATTGTAGTAATTTCAACAGTTGAGATTATGAGTTAATTGAAGCTAGACCATCATGGAAGACCTGAAAGCACTGAACGTCCGTTTTGTCCTATTGTGGGATCCCTCAACAGTGTGCATCCACAACCTTATCTCGAGAGTTACGGACATATATGATTATTGATTAATAAGGAATAATGATACTAATCAACCTATGCTCACTAGTGACTGGCTTCAAGAGATATATCCTGGAGTTCTAGTGAGAAGCAGTGACCAGTGGAGTTTAACCGGGTCAGTTGTGAGGTATTAATTCACTGATCACAATGGTGGATGTATCGCTCAATTTCTAGGATTAGTTGAAGTTAGACATAAACACCGTTGGATGCTGAGTCACTGGTCTAGTTGGTTAAGCGCCTGGTGCGAGACTGATAGGTCCCGGGTTCGAATCCCACGAGGTGAGGTCATGGATGCGTGCTGCTGAGGAGTCCTGCAATAGGACGAAACGGTCGTCCAGTGCTTCCAGGTCTTCCATGGTGGTTCAGCTTCAATTTAATCATGATCTCAACTGTTGAAATATGTATATCGGTATATACTATTGTTTGCATCCTTTTTATTACTTACACCTGTTACCCGTCGGGGAGGAGAATAAGTCGCCCATCTCCGCTTTCTATTGAACTTTGTCTTGGACAATTCTTTCAAGTTGTTTTTAGTTGTTAATTATCCTTTTCACGTTTGTTTCCAATTCTTGACATGGTGTGTTCTTTGATTTTTCAGTTTTCCGTTTCCGTTTAGCATTCCAAGTTAGTGTTTGCCTAGAGTGATACAGTTTGGTGACTTCCACAATGTAGTTCCTATCCGCTTACAACGTCCTTTCTTAATTTCTTATTCACATAGAAGCTGTTTTTTCATATCCCACAGTATGTTGTTATTGATGGTATCAGGGCAACGGATATTGAGTATCTTTCGTAGACAATTGTTTATAAATACTTGTACCGTTTTGATAGCGGTTGTAGGCAGTCAGTCAGTCAGTAACAACGTAGAACTTCGTACGTACGTACATCAGTTCGAGTTGCCACACCACATTAGCATAGAGATGCAGTGGTCGATTCAAATCCCGTAGTAGTAGAGGTAATAAGAGCATAAGCAATAATCGGGAAGATTAGTGTTTGGAGATGTTACTTAAAGAGTATAATACAGTGAAATAATTTTGAGAGGAGTAAAAAAAGAGACAAGGAGGAATAAGGAGATCAAAATTTGGGAGAACACAAAGAGTGTAGTAGTTGTAGTAGTTCTCAACGTTTCATTTCCATACCATAGAACTAAATGTTTTAACATTCTTATTAAAGATTCTGACTTTGATAGTGGTTGATAGTTGTTTTGATTTGCATATACTCTTCAATTGTAGGAATACTGTTGTTGCTTTACTAATCTTCACCTCTACGTGTGCATCCGATCCTCCATCTTCATCGATGGCGCTTCTCAGGAACTTGAAAGATTCCACATCTTCCAGATTTTCTCCATCAAGTGTGATCTGATTTGTCTTCTCTGTGTTGTATTTAAGGATGTTGCTTTTTCCTTTATATATGTTGAGCCCTATCGATTCAGAGACTGTTCCTATACTAGTTGTCTTCATCTGGATTTCTTAATGTGTATAGGAATATTGATATTTACTACTCAAATTTTAGATACATAGTCTATGCAATTCATTCATTATGAGAATTGAAATGATAAGAATTCTAGTTTTGTAAACATTTAATAAATGTCATTAAGGGAAACATGTCACCTATCTTCCTTCCATTTGTTTAAAACACTCTTAAAAAGCTGTCAAAAGTTAGATGATTGAGCTGCCCCAATTTATTTTATTTTATCTATTTGAACACATAAATATTACACAGATTGAAACCATGAGTCGATTGAAACAAGACCACCATGGAGAACCTGCAAGCACTGGACGGCCGTCTCGTCCTAGTATGGGATTCCTCATCAGTGAGCATCCACGATCCCGCATCCCGCGAGATGCAAACCCAAGACTAGCTTCAATTAACTCATGATTTCAATCTGTGAAATTTATAAAATCTTCACAAACCCCTTTTGAACATAAATATTAGTACAAAGAGGTGGTGAATACATATACACCACCCAAGTCACTTGATTTGTGTTTGAACTGTGATACTGCCTGGTTGCCAAGACTGAACATCTAAAAGTTTGACCCACAAGACAATAGAGCAACATTAAGAGATACAATCTCATGTATCATTTATTCCTTCAGCATCTTACAGTCCATGTATATCATTGATTTGAAGTCATAGTTTTCCGACTCGCCTAGATTGATCCTTCATCTCTATTATAGTGCAAGACATTCGCCTTTCGATTAAGATAACATACTCTCCCCTTCCCTTCGACTGTACCAGGACATCGAGGTATACATCATGGATTGATTTTACTCTTACTTACTTACTTACGCCTGTTACTCCTCGTGAAGGAGCATAAACCGCTCACCACCATTCTCCATCCAACCCTGTCCTGGGCAATCCTTTCCAGCTCCTTCCAGTCCCTATTCATCCTATCCATATCTGCTTCTATTATCCGACGTTGTGTGTTCTTAGGCCTTTCTATTTTCCGCTGCCCTTCAGGATTCCAAGTTAAGGTTTGCCTCGTGATGCAGTTTGATGATTTGCGTAATGTATGTCCTATCCATTTCCATCGTCTTTTCCTAATTTCTTCTTCAGCTGGAAGTTGGTTTGTTCTCTCCCACAGAATGCTGTTGCTGATGGTATCCGGCCATTGGATGTTGAGTATCTTGCGAAGACAGCTATTAATAAATACTTGTACCTTCTTGATGGTGGTTGTTGTAGTTCTCCGAGTTTCAGCTCCATACAGTAGAACTGCCTTGACGTTGGTATTGAAGATTCTCACTTTGATATTGATTGAGAGACAGTTGTTTTGAGTTCTATATGTTCTTCAATTGTAGGAATGTGACCTTTGCTTTGCCAATCCTTGCCTTAACGTCTGCATCTGAGCCTCCTTGTTCATCGTTGATGCTTCCTAAGTATGTGAAGGACTCTACATCTTCCAGAGTTTCGCCATCAAGAGTGATTGAATTGCTGTTCTCCGCCTTGAATTTGAAGACCTTGGTTTCCCCTTTGTGTATCCTGAGGCCTAATGATGCATAGACTGCTGCCACACTGGCTGTCTTTGTCTGCATCTGTTCTTGTGTATGCGATAGGATGGCTAGGTCATCTGCAAATTCCAAATCGTCTAATTGGTTCTGAGCTGTCCATTGTATTCCGTGTTTTCTTTCAGATGTCGAAGTCCTATAGATTTTACTCAGACAATTATTATTATTATTACTTAATCACTAGGTCAATATTCAATTCTGATTCGAATGAATTAAAACGTTTACTGATTTTCTAATTAAAATTATAATTTTGTAATTAAAAATTAATTGAAAAATTTATATTGTCAGACTTTTTCTGTTTGTTTGTTTGTTATAATTCCGTTTTGTTTTAATGAAACAAAAAAACGTGTCGATTCTACTCATATGAATATTTCAATCTAATATCAATGGTCACAGTAACAAAAGTTGGTCTCAATTAGACTAGTTGAGGAGGCGGTGAATGTCAATTCTAATTATGATAATCCGGTTGTTGTTTTTTTATTTTTTTTTTAAAAAAAAACACAAAAAAGTAGTTTTCTGGTGCGTGTGCGTGTGTGTTTGCGTGCTTATGCATGTGTGCATGCGTGCGTACGTACATGTGTGTGCGTAGGTGTTACCAATGTTTGTTTGATTATAATTTACCGATGAAGATGGTGAAAAGAAAAATTAAAAAAAATTTGAAAAAATAAAAAAATTTTTTTTCTATCATTAGAATGGTGCCATTGTTCTAAAATTAGAATAGAATCATAGAACTAAGTCGGTAATAGATATTTATCTAATGAATAGAATAGTTCAAGTCTAGACAAAAAGTTTTAATTAAGAATTCGACTAAAATAGATCATTTTTATATAATGTATCTAAGTATATGGAGATAATAAGTGGAATAAGTGTCATTCCAATTGTTGTTGTTGTTGTTGTTCCCTTAGAGATAAATGTTATGAATATATATATTGGGGTACTTTGAATAGTATGAATGATCTTTTAGAACAGGCATAATACTAATAAAGGTATGAATTTCGGTAGATTCTAATTGTCGTTCACCTACTATCTTCATACTTTACTTGACTTTCTTTTTCTTTCTTTCGTTTTCTTTTTTTTTTCATTTTTCTTTTTTTTCTTTTCAAAACCGACTAATTCATTAAGAAATGAAGTTTAGCCGCTGATTGTTTGCCTTTTTAAAGTTTTCAACTTTATAACTAATAGAATAGTATGACTATTCTCATACAGTTTCATACAGTTACATTCTATATGACTGATTTAGATTGAAGGTTTTTATGAATAGTTTATATATATATATATATATATATATATATATACATATGTGAATGTATATACATCCATTGATGTGTACTATATAGGAGAATGATAGAATCTTTAATATGGAGTTAATTATATTCGATTGAATACAATAGTGATCTTGATATG